AAGAATTATATACATTTTTTTTCTAAAATAAGTTGAACAAAATTAAGTAAATATTAGAGTTTTACAAAAGACTTTTAAGCCCTGATAGATTTTAAGTTGAATGTGCAAAATGTACATTTTTGTCTGAAAATAATGATTAGTATTTTCTCTTAATTTGTATAAATATATGATCGAAAAGGTCTATTTAATTATTTTGAAAATTGCATAATAGTTTAGTTTTCTGCTTTGATTTTTTTCGCAAATAGAAATGTCGATTTCTTTAATTCCAAGAAATAGAAAGCTTATTTTGTCTACTATGCAAGAAAATATTGCTCCCATTTCAGCTCTTTACCCAATTGCCAGGATTACGTTAATTGCACATTTCTGCTATGTTAGGAAAGAAAAAAATTATTGCTTTCTGTCAGGAAACATTGGCTTTCTTATTTAGCTGCTAGAAAACAGATAAGAAAACAACTTTTATTATTTTCGTTTTCTACACTTGTATTAAGCGTTATCAATTTTAACCATCTTTTTTTTAAAACAAATTCGGACTGCTTTAGAAAATTTTTCTTATCAAGAATTCGCAACGTTTACCATATCAGGTTCATTTTAAAAGTTTTTAAGGAAACAATAAAATGAAACTAAAAATCTGAATTTTTCACGATTATTATTTAAAAATATGCATAAGCGCAAAAAAAAAAATTTAATTTCTTTACAAAAATTATCTAATAAATATGAAATGCTGATAATATTTCAAAAATGAGTTATATTACCACGTGACATGACGGCATGATTGAAGGGTTAAAGGCACTTATCTGACAAATTACAGGTTCTGAGTTCGATACTCCAAGCACTACAGAACTCTGTTACTTCTTCAGAAGTATATAAATATGTGTAGATGCAAGTTAAGATTTTATTAATTATTTATGGAATGTTCTAGAAGTTTTTAGAGCATTCCCCTACGACATTTTCATTTTCTTATTACACTATATGAGTTTCTAGTAAAAATGGCAGATACCATGTCCTCTGTATTTTAGAAGAACATTAATAAATTTGTTTTATTTACCAGAGTAAATTCCTTTCTTCCTACTTGGCAATATGGCAATTTCGCCTGTTTATAAAATGAACAACTAGTGCGATTTGAGTATAAGTTTCATAGTACTTTTTAATAAATTCACGAATTATATTAAAATCATTTATTCAGACTTGTTTTGGGCTATTTGATTTATTATACCAAAATAAAATGCGCCCTGCAAATACATTTTGAGATTATTCAAAATATTCTTCAATATAGGTTTAATTATTTACAATGCGATATGTAATACAATTATGAAATATTTTAGTATTCCGATAAAATACTGAACTTTAATTATTCACAATATCATATGTAATACATTTATGTGAGATTGTTTTAGTATTACGATTAAATTGGTTAAATTACTTGCAGTGTTGTACGTAACTCATTAATAAAAATTTATAGTATTCCAATAAAATAGGTTTAAGCATTTACAAAACAGAGTATGTGATATATTTATTATATTATATTAATATTCCGATGAAATAGGTCAAAATTTTTATAAGAAAGTATGTATTCATGAGATTGTTTTAATATTCTGATTACAAAGGCAAAATCATTTACTATATGGTAAGTAATATTCTTATGAGCTATTTTAGTATTTCGATAAAGTAGAATATACACTTGAAATATATATATTCGCATGAGTTACACGAAGTTTGATACAGTATAAAAGATCATACATATTTACTGATAATATGTGTTACTTTCACGAATTTAATAAACTAAACAATAATTTCTCACACTGAGAAATAAAGTATGGTCAAAACAACTAGAATAAGGCAGAATTTGACGAGTTTTTGCCTCTATGGGAACACCCAAAAGCTGTCACAAATACCACTTGCCAATTTCAGCAAGCCTTTTTAACATGAATCAAATTTTTAAGGCAGAGGGTGTGTTTCCTGATTTTTGTGGCACTAGCCATGGCCAAAAACACGGTTTCAGAAACACACAGGTCACATCCAGTTTTACAGGGAGGACCCAATCATACTCCCCGAATTCATCCAGAGATCATAATTTTGACATGAACCACAGAATTCAGTAGCCCCATAGGTATTAATTTGTTATGGGAACTTGGCGGACTTTGTGACCCGGAAAGATTTAATATGCACCATTCAACTTCGGCCAACTGGGCTCTCTTTCTCACAAACGCAGGCCAAAGTCGTACGAGTATCACCCAGGCTGTCCCGGTCTCCAAACCAAGAAAAAATTACCGAAAAGATTTGATAATTTTTTTGTTAAAATTAACTATGAAATATGAATTTTATATTACGTGATAAAATTTGATAAATGTGGTAAAACTAAGTAACTTTATTTACATAACTTAGAGCATGATTTAAGAACCACTTAAACTTTTAAATTTACATTTTTGTTTTGTAACTTTTACTACACGTGTGGTAATAAGAGCTATAATTTAGAAAGTCAGAATTTCCGGTAAATTGCTATCACATAAATGGAGAAAAATAAAAATGAATGGCTTAAATATGACATGTTTTTGTTTTATTAACCAGAATTACAATATTTTTTTACCAGAAAAATCATTACTTAATTTTTTTCAGAATTTTTTTTCTCTCCATGCAATGCTCGAGTTGAACAAATAGTGTTAGCTATGTTTGTTTTTCAAAATTTTGCTTTATTTTCATTTTTTAACCATTTATTTTATCGATGTAATATAATTTAGATTCCTTTTAAATATAAAACTCCATGAGAAAATTTAAAAGAATTTAGTCACTGTAGGGAATTGAATCTTTTTTTTTGTAGCACAACATTTTTAACACACATTTACATTACAAGAACTAGTCATAAAAATATTAAATAAATCGACGAAGATATATTTGTACGCAGGTACGTTTCTTTCGGATTTTTCTCTGGCATTGTATTAAGACACATGGCAGAAATATTTATTGCAGCATAAGGTCATTTACAAGAAAGGAAACGGAAAGCAAAACATCATGATGTGCTTTTCCTTTATATTTTCTTTTTATAGATATATGTCCTACTATCTGAAGTATCAAGAAAGAAATATTGTATGCAAGAAATTTATTTATTTGCAAAACACAACGTGGCGTTATTACGTTATTGTTACTTTTGTAGAGATACAGAAGTACAGTTCAGTTTTCTGTTAAAAGAGAATTTTGGTATGCTTATGAACCGGTAACGCTTTTCTCTTTTCTCTTTACTATTTCATATTTTGTCTTAAATGAATATTTATGGTCAACTATTTAAATTATCCAGTATAATATTACCTTGCGCACATCCATTTTGGACCCATCCTTGGTAACTAACAAATCAATGCGCAGCATAGCATATCACTTCAGCAATGCAGTAAGAAGTCTTTAAAATCATCTATTTATACTCAATTTGAGGCTTTTGTTTTCATATTTTGTAATCTGGCAATCTTGTTGCGAAAATATTTTTAAATCATTCTAGAAAAATTTCCCGTTCATGTAAGTACATCTGATTTAGCTACTCGCTTTATAGTTTTTGTTTTGTTTTATACTGTTTTTACTTTTTCTTTTATAGAATTTTCTGTTTTTACGTGTTATTTTTACTTATTGTGTTCTATTTTGTTTGTTGTAATTTTCGTAAAAAATTATTTTGAGTGCTCCTCACACTATTGTATTAATATATTTTGATTGGCTATATTGATACAATATCAGAAAGCACTCTTTTTTGCGGACATAATCGTGTGGACTGATGAAGAAATTATATCCTTTATTTTCCGGTTTTTTTAAAAAAATGCATCCTTCTTTTTTTTTTTAATCAGTTTGTTATTATTTTTTTCATTATTATCCCCCCCCCTTTTGCATACGACTATAATTTTCCTTTGTTTTATCTTCATTTTGAATTTATATATATATATATATATATATATATATATAAATGTT